TGTGCTTGACCTGCGTAATACTTTCAGAAGATACAACATGGCAAAAGTATGAAGAAGAAATAATGACAGTGTCTTGATAACAAGTCAGGTTTTGTTTGTTTCAGTCTTTTTTAAAAATAGAATGCACAGATTTAATGTCTTTTTTTATTCTCATCAGAAAACCCTAATCTCGGTCGTCACACCTTTCTTTTCCACTTTTCTTTAGGCCATCCAGTGAAGAGAAAGAGACTGAAATATCTCTGAAGGATTCTACACTAGATAACTAGGTTGGACATACCGGGAATATAGAAAACATTTGAGAAGTTTGTAATGGGTTTCATTTGAAATATTTAGACTGCTGAAAGTTTTAAATTTTTATAAGCATAGGTTTTGATGTTTAAAACTTGTTTTGAGGGATGAAAGTCTCTTTATCTTTGTTCAAAAGTAATTAAACATTATTGCTAATTGTACTTGTGCAGTATTAACAGCTATGTTATACAGTAAATGTGGAGCAGAATCCCTATAGAAAATGTTAAACTGCTTTTCCAGACATGGTTGTAGCATATTTTCAATTTGTGTGTGTATGTTAACGTGTAATTGATAGAACAAAGTTACATTTTTAAAACTGCAACTTGTATAAACCTTTCCTCTTTTCCCAAATACCATGGGTTTTGTGCATATTTTTTACAAATCTTGGATTTACCAGGCTGTCTTTCCACTGTTTGTGGGTTTTGTAGAAGTTGAGCATTTTTATGGTAGATAAAATGTTACTTCTAATCTAAGTACTCACTCCTTCATTTTATCAAAAGCTAATTTTAATCTCAGTCTACATTGTGCTACGCTATGCTGCTTCTTGGAAACAATGTGTGTTCTGTATGCCTTTTTGTATGCCAACCTAGATATGTTGAACTGATGATTCTATGAGGTGTTAACATGTAAAACTCATGTTAACTTTTGAAGATAATTTACTTTTGTGGCTAGGAATTCAGTGAAGTCATATGACTTCCCTGCAGAGAACAGACTGGGTATATATAGGAATGAATCTGGCTTTAGGGTTCAATCATCTAAGATCCTTTACAGGCATTAGTAACTAAAACTGAAAACTAAATAAGCCTATTTTTGAGAAATGTCTCATTTCTAAGTTTTCTTAATACTCATTAAGGAAGTCATAAGTATTTTTTTAATTGGAAAAAAGTCAATCCGTGATGCTTATGCAGTAAATATAAGTAAATGCTATATAAGGAAACTAACCTATTTGAAAACATGGCTATATTTGAGGGGAATTTTTATTTTCATTTCTATATCGTACAACATTAGTTGCTCCAGCTTAGTACTTTGAGATAGTCTGTATATTGATGTATATAGACTAAATCAGGGTGAATCCAATGTTAACAAAAAATTTAAGGGTATATTTACTAAAGTATAATATTTCTAAGATATTTTAAATATTAGGTCATTTGGTGGTTTTTGATAGAAAAGGATACTTCTCATGTTTTGAAACTGTATGAGTATGGGAAAATAACAGTTGGTGTGTAACACTGTATGGTTTGACCTCTAGGATAATTGTTTTCATCTACAGAGTAAAAATTTGAATTATTTCAGTAATTGGATTTTTGCTTTTGAGAGGTCTTACAGTGGGACTAGGACCCACTGTTTTGAGAGAACCCCCATATATACCAGTCATTATCTGTTTGGCCCTTACTACAGTTTTAACTTGGACAGATTTATTCTAGTTAAGCCATAAGTGTCAACGTGTAAACTTGTTTTGATTAAAGAATTTTTCTATCAAACTCTACTAGTAAATTACTTCTTTGCTATTCATAAGAGTAAGTGATGGAATTATGTATGGATTTGCTGCCAAGGAAATAATTTCTTATTTAGCTGGTCCTAGAGATTGTGTTGTTTGGGGAGACAAGTAACTAAACAATAAGCTCAACATGGCAAAAATAAAGGAAATGTTACTTATCTTTTGTTCACCTGCACTCCCCCTTTTTTTCCCTGTGACCCAAGAGATCTATAGTTCTACCAAGAAGCCACAGAATATTCAACTTGTGGAGATAAAGCAGCTTTCTAATAATTTATGTCTGCTTGTATAGGTTGACCTTGCTCTATAACTAGTTGACATGTTACTTAAAGCACAGTTGCCTTCTCAATTTGTCATAGGCTGATTCACAGATAACTCTTTAAGAAAAGTCTCATGAATGATTATCAAGAACTTTTAGGAGCACTGGCTCAACTTAAATTGTGTAGTTGGTCAAAAACTCCACAGCGGGACAAGCCACTAAGTGATGATTTCAGTGAAAACAGCTAGCCAAAAAAAAAAGTATGTATAAACAACACCTATTTTGTGCTAGGTTTTTTGTTTTTTCTTTATCATCACCGGATAACATTTTAAAGAGTAAGTTATACACGAACCAGCAGAATAGACTGGTGAAGGTTTTTCAGCCACTTGGAAAAATTTCGGAACCTGATTAGGACTTTGTGTGTGTGATCATTTTATCAGAGACCTTAAGCCTTATAATTGATATTATATCCAGTGATTTCAAATAGTATGCCAAGAGATTTACCCTGTTCCTGATACGGTAATGTAAGTGTATGTTGCTACCCACACACACTTACCTGGATGTCAGGTCAAGATGAAGTTTGCCATCTAATTCCTGTACAAGAGCAAAGGCTTTTATAGGGCTCTGTGAGGACTTCACTAACAACTTATTTTGTCCCATTGGCCAGAGAAAGGATGATCTATTGGAAACAGCAAACCCATATCATTAAATAAAGAATTAAAAAACAAAGGTGTAATAGGCAGAAATGTGTTTATATTTGTGTTGTGTAATTCTGTAACACACAGATAGTGTTAAAGATGACTGACCTTTCTCCCAGTAAAACCCAAATGTTTAATTATCCTTAAAGGGTATTGACAAAGATGTTAAGGAAATAGTTATTGCTTTTCTATATATAGTGATTTTTGTGTAAGTGCAGAATCAAATTCATTTGTAACTACAAAGGATTTGTTAAGTTCACAACATTTTCATATTTGCTTTAACAAACATGTTGTGTTTAATACGTTGAAATAGGCATAAAGAAAAGCTGTCTTGGATCAGAGATTTTACAGCTCCAAAATATACAATGTCAGGAATTTCTTTTGACTTGAACTTGGTGGGAATATCTGCATGACTGATACACAACACACTGACAATTGTGGGAATAACCTGGTTAGTCTTCTCAGTTTCACCAGGAAACAATAGGTATCTGACTCTCTGGTGAAAAAGTTAACCTTAAGAACTAACATTTTCAGTAAACAATAAAACAGTGTTTTAACTGGTATCTTTCTTCTTTGTCCACTAAAATGAGTGGATTGGCAGCACACATCGAATAATGCATTATGACAATAATTTTCTAAAATTAGCTGTTTTCAGAGTATGAATTAAAAATGAATAAAAGTAAATAGACCCTTGCATATTAATGCATGATCTGAAAGGAATGCAGTATTAATAATAAAGGAATCGGGCCAGGCGTGGTGGCTCATGCCTGTAATTCAAGCACTTTGGGAAACTGAGGAGGGAGAATCGCTTGAGGCCAGGAGTTCAAGACCAGCCTGGACAACATAGTGAAGCCCCATCTCTAGGGGAAAAACAAGGAATCAAAAATACATTTTTACCTGTGGAATTTTAGGAATTGGATATATCTTAAATCTATGGTTTTCCAGCATAATTTTCAATCCGTTCAATTTTAGCACTCTTAGACATAGGAAAGTAAAAACTTAGGCACATTATAAACCAGCCCTGGAGTGGCCTCTTAATTCTCTATACTGATCCTCTGTGTACCAAATGAATGAATCAGAGAATGAGAACAATGCTGGACATACCAGGAATAGATGCTTGTCATCTCCAAACCAATCGACTTAATTGGTATGTGGCATTTAAGTCCATAAAACATAACTTCACTGTCTTTTAAACACACAGTCCTACAGGCTTCATTGTTTTTTTTATTTATTTGGTTAATGTATGTTCTTAGCCATCCAGATGTGGAACTCAGGTGAATTTAAATATTACCTAGGAAAGAGAATAAAACTTAAATATTTATGATGCATTTAAATCTATTTTATGACATTATTGAAAGTCTTAAACAGTATTACATTTTCTAACCAAAAAGGTTTCCAGAAAATATTTCAATATAGATAGCTACAATTTTCTCTGACGATCTATACCTGGAAATTTATTTAAATAAGTTTCCTACTTACTCTTCTCTCATTCTGAGCCAAAAAGGAAAGGATTATTATAGTCAGAGGACCAGAGGAATGGAAGAGCTGGGCCAGAAAAACCCCTGTGTTTACTTTTTTTCTTTTTGCTTATAGAATATTCAGTAGTATTAGCTAAGAATAAGTGAGCCAGAGCTAACAATCAGTAGGATCTTGTTTTTTTTCCATGTCCCATGGTCATATAAAACCTATTTTTTTAATCATAATATTGATATTTTAAACTCCCAGCATTTATGATTCATAGAAAGTTTCTGTCAACAATTGAAGCTTCAATTTAAATGTTACTTCTGTGAAGGTATGAATATATACTCAAGATCTTTTTACTTTCATTATTCATGTAGTAAATCTCATTAAAATGTCTTACGTGCCTAGTTCCTATTAAAACTAAACCTAAGATTACATTACAAAAGAGCCCACTATAAGATTAAATTACACAATAGCCATTCTGAATCTTGTATTATTTATTAAATAATTCACTCTTACTCTTCTCCCTAATTTGTATTACAGATATTTGCAGGATATTTACCTTGGAAGCCTCATGGTAGATGGTATAGCTTTCACATTCTTCAAAGAATTTTCAAAAATGCTTCCACCACTTGATGTATCATTAATTTAATTCTGTCATTAGTAAAAAAAAAAAAAAAACAAAACACTGGACAGAAAATGAGTAGGCAAGCCATGGATCAGGATAAAGAATATGTGTATCTGACAAACGATTTATATTCAGCACTTCTACAACTCAATTAAGATAACCCACTTAAAATGGGTAAAAAGCAGTGCTAAATGAAAAACATACTTTGGAAGAAGTACTAAATTAAATATATTTCTAAACATTTAAATACAATCAAGTTGCTTTATAGCAAAATCTGTGATTCGAACTTTTTTTGGTAGCTTTAGCTGATTGTTCCAAGTGGATTGTGGTCCTCAGTAGCATTTCTTGGAAATAAACATCCAAGAGAACAGTTATTTCAGAAGGGTGTACTTTTCTGTATGTGTGTATGTGGCTATTCTTAATTAAAGGTTCCAGGATCAACATAAGGATAAGCAAGGAATTCTCCCAATTTGTTGCCTTCTGAATCATAGTGGAGCATTCGGAAGCAAACATCACAAAAGAAACATGGGTCCTCTGGTGCAAAACTGTCATTGTTGGTCACCCATCTGCAGTTTTTAAAAAAGATGTACACCATTAAGTTTTTCATGCTTTAACATGCTGTGAGTTATAACCTGCATATAGTAATATGTAAACATAACATTCCCAGTATTACTTTATAAGACTATAATATTAAAACATAAGCCTTTATAGAATTGTGTGTGTGTGTATATATACAGACACATCACTACCAGTACTCTACAAGGCAAAAGGGCATCTAACACTAAGAAACACTGCAGAATGCTGTTTCTCTGTAAGATCTCCCCTTAAAGGTAAGTAAGGTAAGTAGAGAAGAATATAAATCTGTACTTGAAAGCATCATACATTTGCTATGACATCTATCCTCTAGGTAACTTAAAACCACAGTCCTTTTCTTCTAACAGACCATCTTGAAAAACCATAATACTAATATAATTCGATGCTACAGATCTGATAAACTTTTGCTTAATTTATCTTTTTAACTGGTAAATGAGTACTGGTCAATTTGAAAACTCCAACTGTTTTACCTAGAATTCAGGATAAAATATTATAATATACCAAGTGTATGCAAGTGGAAATATGAGCAACATTATTCACCTGAGATTGTTTTTGGCCTGAGATGTTACTGGTCACAGTAAGATGAAAATGCTATTTACCAGTGTATTTGAATTCTGCATCCAATGGACTGTACTTTTAACATTCCCTTATTTTCATTTTGATCTGGTAACTCTGATTTCTTTTTCCCTACTGATTTGTTAGAAAAGTATATTGTGGTGGGGAAGCCAAAGTAAACTTAAGATATAGGTTGAATATCCCTTATCTGAAATGCCTGGGACCAGAAGTGTTTCAAATTTCAGAGTATTTGTGTTATTTAAATACCTACCAACAGAGCACTGAACGCCTGAATTCCAAAATGCTCACATGAACATTTTCTTTGAGCATTATGTTGGCGCTCAAAAAATTTTATATTTTGGACTTCTGATTTTCAGATTTGGGATGTTCAACCTGTATTCAATTCTTCCTTTCCTCCGAGTGGTTTTCAAACTTTTTTGACTGGCCCACAGTAAGAAACACTTTATAATATAAACATGCAGAATCACATGAAGGAAAAATTTTATAACACTGTATTTTGACCTCGTATGTGATGTGCTATGATATTTTCTTCATTGAGAAGCTGTAGAATGAAGTTGATTTTGTAAACTACAGACAAGAGCATTGTATCAACCCTAAAGTTCAACCTTCTCTTTGACTTATCTGTATATGTGATAATACATTGCCTTACTATTTAAAAACCCTAGTTTTAACATGTTAAACTGATTTTGTGGCACTTCTCTACTAGATAAAACTCGTATTCTTTATAACTCTAAGTACAAAAGTCCTTAGATCAAAAATGGAAAACTGAAATATCAAAAGTACCTAATTATTGAAAGCCAACACTTGTCAAAGAAAAAAAAGATACATCACTCACCTAGCTGTGTACATTTTACAAACAAAGCATTTTCTGGTCCACAACCAGTGCTTCTTGATAAGAAGGGGATAAAGTGTCCTATCCAAGCAGTCATCATGATGCACAAGCCTTTTGTTCATAAGAAAATAAATGGTTAAAATTAAAGTGAAAATTTATGATCTGTAAAAGAATATATCTATACCTCAACATTTAGGAACACAGTAGATGTTTTCAGTTTTTGCTTATGAAAGATTTAGGTAAACTCGGTTACACCAGATTTGGCCAAATTGTGTTCCACAAAATACTTTCTCCAAAACATTTTGAAAACAAGGTTTTCTTTCTTGTGCGAGAGACTTCCCAAATTCTTTTATGGTAGTACGCACTGTGACACTCTAAGAGGGAGCTATCGTATGCAGCATTTCTTGAATATATTCCATCAGAGAATCCTTGGTTTACTTAACGCTTAGTACCTTTTCACAGAACAGTGAGCAGGGCTACTCGGTGATGCTTTACCTAGATTAACTAATTGGTTGTTACAATGTGGCTCTAGTTTTTTATTATCCCCTTTATTAAAATCTAAATCTGGCTCCTGGTATAATATGGACTGGTAAGATTTTAGTTTTAGGTGTCAGAATTATGAAACTTTGAACTTTTAAGAAATTGCGAATGAAAGTCAATCTCTCTACTCTGCCACTAATCAGCTGCATGGCTTTGGGTAAATCCCTTAAACCAGCAGTCCCCAACCTTTTGATACCAGGGACTGGTTTTTATTATATAAAAAATTGAAGACAATTTCTCCACCAACGGAGTGGGAGGGAGGGGCGTGAGGGATGGTTTCAGGATGACTCAAGCGCATTACCTTATTGTGCACTTTATTGCCATTATTATTACACTGTAATATATAATGAAATAATTATACAACTCACCATACTGCAGAATCAGTGGGAGCCCTGAGCTTGTTTTCCTGCAACTAAATGGTCCCCTCTGGGGGTGATGGGAGAGTGACTGATCTGACAGGAGGCAGAGCTCAGGAGGTGATGCGAGCGATTGGGAGTGGCTGTAAATACAGATGAAGCTTCACTCCCTGGCCTGCTGCTCTCACCTCCTGCTGTGTAGCCTGGTTCCTAACAGGGGACTGGTCTGTGGCCCAGGGGTTGGGGACCACAGCCTTAAACAATGATGGACCTCAGATTCTTCTGAAAAATGAAAGGACTGCACAAGATTATTGTGAAGGCCCCAGACAATTCTAAAATTTTATTTTTTTCTTTTAGTAAGAAAGGATAGCAAATATTAAACTTCACCATCAGAAAATGATGTGAATGTGAATGGTACTGAATGATTAAATCTACCTATATAAGACGAAAATAACTTGTAGTCTAAATTACCTTTTAAAAAATTCCTCAGCAAAGTTCCACACTGCAAACTCTTAATATAAATTGCTTTTCTCTTTCGCACTGAAAAAGATCGTTGTTTCTTTTGTTGACCACTGCATCAAGAAATTTCCTTGAGTTTAAAGGCCATGTTCTTATCCTTCAGCCTTAGAATGACACTGTTTACAAAAATATTCCCCTATATTATAAGAAATGCAAGGAAAGTAAGACCTTCAGAGAGAAGAGTGGATTGTCTCCTACCTTATGTTTACTGTGAGGCAGGCACATTTCCCTTCATTTGAATAGAAAAGCAGGCTTATATAAAATTTTAAAAACAATTTTTTAAGACTTTTTTTTTTAGACTAATCAAGTGCAGTAGTGAAAAGGGGGGAAAAAGTGGAACAAGAAGTTTGATCTATAACTGACTATGAACTATCAAATGAGATAACTCACTGCCTTCGGACCAGCCAAAATTTTAATAACATCATCAAAGACATAAAGTACTGTAAGTAATTTTAGAAGTCATATAAATCCAAGGTTTATGAGATTTCCTTGCCCTTGCCTAACCATTCTTCCCTAGGGGCAACTCTTTTCCACTTAAAACTTTTTACAATTTTGCTCCACAACTTCCCTTTATAGAACGATTATAATTTTGGTTAAATAGATATTTAATGTTTAAATTATGATGAGTTAATACTACTTCCATGTAAGCTACAGAACTATCTTTTCCTCTTATTGTATGATATTTTGTTTTCTAGCTACTAATTCTCTCCCGTTTGCATTTGCTACATTTTCAGTGTACCTGTTACTAATTCAGTTCCCTATTTACTGACAGAACGATGAACATACTGTCCATTTGAGTTAAACACCAACAGGAGGTCTATCAGTTCTATTTTTCTTCCCAGACATCCTTCCTGAATTCTCTGTGCTCCTGGCTCCAGTCCCTGTGCTGAACTGTTCTCTAGGTCTGGTACGCAGCTGTCACACTAGGATTTCGCTTTCCCATCACCCTCAGAATTCCCTTTATGTCTATTTAATCTATTCTGTGTGGCATCCCAGGTCTTTCTTGTTCATGGTTTACTCTGTGTGAAGTGCTTCTACTTCCTCTGGTAGCTTTCTGAGAAGGAGTGCCTGGCATATAAAATTTTGGAGACTGTTCACTAAAACCAAAAAGTAGTAGAAGCAGGGACCTTCTGAAAGCATCAGTTCCTATTACTATTAATTAGCAATTTATTATACAAGAATTTACTGGTTCCTAACTACTGGTAAAACATGGTATGTCATTGCCCCACAGAACAAATAGTCTCAGAAGGAATCAAACCAGCAACAGAGCAAGGTTTACTCTTACATATTGGTACTTCTTAAATTGAGATTTCCTAAATAAGGACAAAATGAATAGCTTTATTTATGGACTAGAGATATCAGCTCTACAAAATTTATAACTAATCCCCAAAACTCATTTTAGACTATTAGGCTCCTTCCCAATTTCAATCTTTATCAAAATATTAAGACTTCACACTTGTCAAATATTAGAATTACTCTTCTCTTTCCCTAGTTCTTTGTTATCTCCTTCAAATTTGGGCAAAAAGACAAGAAAACTAGAAAAGTTGCAAATGTGCAAAGCAAAGAACCTATATTATAAATACCATGGATGACGAGTACCTGAAAAGCAGCTGTTTTATATAAAAATGGAGATGCTTTTAAAAGTATTTACAGATTTTAACCCTCTAATAAACAGTAAAGTATTTCTTAAAGATGTTCCAAAAAATGAACAATAGAGGATGCAAATGGATACAAAGTTGGTAACTGCATGGAAACCAGACACTTATTTTTGCTGTTTACAAGCCAAGTTGCAATGATGATTACTTTTACCCCCTTTTTTCCGTTAAATACCTGTGCTTTTATACTGTGTAATAAAGAGAAGGAAAAAGCAACAAAACGCTTAGTGCTGCCACCTACCTTATGTCAGTAATGACGACAACATGTTCGCAGTCTCCCTGGTGACAGTATAAGTAAGGAAAGCCTAGTTTAATATACAAGTCATTGAAGGTGAAATCTTCCATTCTAGCAGTCTGAAACTTTCCATAGCCTCTATCATGGGACTCTGACCACTCAATGATAGTTCTGGAGGAGGAAAAAAGCAAAAGGGCAAGGATATGAAATGGCTCCACAAAAACTTAAAAACTACAGAAAAGGGTTAGTGACTGCTGAAATTCATACAACCTGGCTCACCCAACTAACTGGACAATTGCCATCTTGAGATGAGACAATAGTGTTTGATACATGTTGGGATCAGGACATTGAATTTTTCTTCATCTATTAGAGAAGCAATTCTCAAAATGTGGTCCCTAAGGTCAAAATTACCTTCACAATAATACTATCTGCTTTTTTTAATTCTTACCCTCTCATAAGTGACCAGTTTTCTGGAGGCTACCTGACGTTTATCACTTCAGCAAAATGTATAACAATTTCTCACTTTTGTTTTGGAAAACCGATATTTTTTCACCAAAACATTAACATGTAATGAGATTATTTAAATTAATATTTCAAATATTCCTTAGTTTCAATTTCTAATATGATAAATATTGATAGCTATAACCCACGTAAGCGAAACTATACCTGCTCAAATCTCTACATTCCGGGTATCTTTTATCATTGTAAAATGTTCCTTCAAAATAAAAGAAGGCTGATTTATATAGGTCCTACAAGAAAACAGAGTTATTGAGAGAAAGCCTACAATTAACAATTATAAAAAGCATTAATTCAAAATTTATATATCATAAAATCACACTAACACATTACAATAGCTTTATGAAACTTCATAGAATATGCTCAGCATATTAAATTTGTTTAAAATTTAATGGGAACCTACTATGTGACAAGTACTATGTTAGTTACCAGGGATGAAGGTATAAAGAAATGTTCCCTGCTGCTATTTTCAATTTTATCCTGATCGCTGTTTTAGTCACTAGATTTGATTTAAATTGGTATATTCTCCTAAGATTCATAAAAGGAACCCAATTAGAAATCAGATAAACTTCAATATTATCTTATTATATGCATATACAACAGTGATACTTATTTGGGATACTAGAACTAAAAACTAAACAAAGTCTTATTTTTGATGTTTTCCCTATAATAACAATGATCATCAAGTTATATTTTTCTGGCATTTTTAAATATTTTCAATGAGTTCTTTTAAAAACAAACTCTCTCTTTATATTTTCAATAACTCTTAGGCAGACAGAATGTGAATTTACTTTTTTTTCTTTTTCTGTTTTGAGACAGAGTCTCGCTCTATTGCCCTGGGTAGAGTGCAGTGGCGTCATCACAGCTCACTGCAACCTCAAACTCCTGGGCTCAAGGGATCCTCCTGCCTCAGCCTCCCAAGTAGCTGAGACTATAGGCGTGCGCCACAACACCTGACTAATTTTTCTATTTTTAGTAGAGATGGGGTCTCCCTCTTGCTTGAGTCTTGAACTCCTGAGCTCAAGCAATCCTCCCATCTTAGCCTCCCATAGTGCTAGGATTACAGGCCTCAGCCACCACACCCAACCCAGAATGTGTATTTCTACTTTTACTCAGGCAATCTTGGCTCAGCTACCATAATAGCAGCACAACTGGTCTAGGCCCTGAGGTTTCTTACCAAAAGGGTGGCTCTTAATTCTGACTGCAAAACAGAATCGCAAAAACACCCAAGACCAAGTCTCACCTCAGATTCAATAAATGAGAATCTTTGAGGATGTGGCCCAGACATCAGTATTTTTCCAAAGCTCTCTAGGAAAAATATGCAAGCAGAGTTGAGAACCACTGTTAGAACTGCCCTTCTCCATATGCTTAGAAATAGACCCCTGCAAGAGGGTCAGAAGACCTCAGTTCCTTTCCTTAACCTACTACTTACTAGCTTTGTGACTCCGGGTATGTATCTCTCCTCAGACCTCAGTTTCCTCACCTGTAAAATGAGACTATAATATCTGCCATGCTGAAGATCAAAAGCAATTTATGACCTATACAAGATATGTGTCAGGTACTATTAATAAAATAATTTTACCCTAATATACTTTTTCTCCTACTTCTTGGAAGCTTCTATTTTTCTTTCATAATTGTTTTCATCCCTCCATTTACAGATCACATTGCACTGGTGACAGATCACATTGCACTGGTGTCAGATACTCTTGCCAAGATTGGCTGTGCTGTTTCTCCTTGGACTAGTCACTAAATCTAACTCACAGAGGGTACTCATGTAAAGTAAGAGTGAAGTCTTTACTTTCCCCACAGGTTGTTGTGAAGATACAAAGATACAACGTACTTAATACCAAACGGAAAATCTGCCACTTTATGTACTTCTAAACCCTCAAAGAGGTAAGGTAAGGTCCAAAATAAAGGTTCTGAAAGAATAACTATTGCCTTATTTTGGAAACAAAGTTTAGTGTATATAAAATTTTGTTCATTACAAAACACTTCTAAAGAACTTCATCTTGATTAAGCCTTTTAAGTGATTAATGCCTTTTGCTATTAATTACTGATTACAAGGTAGACTCTAAAATAACAAAAGTGTTTTCCATCTAAATCATAAGTAATCCATTAAATTATTTACTTAATAAGGAAAGGTTACTTTCCTTATCTCAGTATATAAATGGGTAGCATGGAAGATGTGAGTAATCTCAGTATCAGTGTATTTTCATTTTTAACAGTAACCAAAGATAACTACTAACTAGTTTCTCTATTTTGTCAGTATCTTGGCTAGCTGAACTGACAAAGTTTCAAGGGGCATGGGGTTGGGGGGATCACCAACCAATATGGAAAAACTAGTGTAAGAAGTTTCTTCTGTTAGTAATTGAATATAACCTCAGTCTAGTCTTACACTGTCCATTTTACAAAGTAACTAGTACAGTCATTTGAACAAACCCATTATTTATATACAATTTTAGGCATTTATTACTCATTTACTCTCTTGCAAATATTCAAATAACCTATATTAGAACTTCAGAAATATTCCTAGGATCTTCTGTGAGGGAAATGGTACTGGGAGAGAAGTGCTTGGAGAAGCTTAGGTAAGGAAATCTTCTCAACTTAAATTTATGTTACCATTTCTCCTTTACAAAGGCTTTATAATAAGTAACAGAATCATACATGTATAATGTATGTTCTTAGCATTCCTCTAAGAAGACCCTTAAGAGGCTCACACCTGTAATCCCAGCACTTTGGGAGGCCGAGGTGGGAGGATCACTTGAGGCCAGGAGTTGGAGACAAGCCTGAGCAACAAAGCAAGATCTCATCTCTATTAAAAAAATTATTAATTTTAAAAAAAGAAAGACCCCTTAAGAGATTATTGACAAAAAAGACCAACTAATCTGATCAATGTACAAATGGTAGATAGATCAGACATTAAAACATGAGGCACCATTAAAAAAAAAAACACATTGATTTTCTACATTTATTTTAATTCTTTTACAGTCAAAGAAACAAATGTTAGCAAAACATATTACATTTTAGACATTTCAGACATAGGGTTTTAAAAGAGAGTTAAATATACTGGCCCAACTCTCTAGATTCTATCACATAAAAAGTTAATAAAAGAAAGCATTTTATTGAAGTCCTGCTTAGTGGTTGGAATAAAGATTCTCATTTCCTTAGCTATAAGAGCTGCAACTCTCTAATTTGTTCCATGATTGCCAGTGGAATACATGCCAAATATATCCCTGTCAATAAAAGCATCAGACCTCAGGGACTTATTTTCAATTTTGTTTGGTGTGACAATGACATGGGATGAACAGATGAAATAACTCTGGCAAAATGCTGAGAAATACTGGAGGTAGACAGTAGATACATTAAAGGTACATTATACTAGTCTCTTGTTTGTTTGAAATTTTCTAAAACAAAACTGGTTTTTTTCTTAAACACCATAAAATACAAATGCCAATCAATGAAAGAAAACTATTTCCAAGGGCAAGAAAATTGTCAGCATCAGCAAAATTTAACTTATGTATTCACCTTTCCAAAATATAGATGGAGAACAAGGAAGCAAACAAAACAGATCTCAGAAGAAAAATTCCACAAAGTCCATAAACGAGAAGTTTTGCTGGTGTATTTTAATAGCGGCATCACTAAGTTTTCACTCATTGCCTGTTCACCATGTAAACAAAATGGTAAAGACAGACATCTAAAGCTAAATTTAATCCCAGCAATACAGAAAAGAAGAACGAACATGGGCGTTGAAGGTGAAATGACATGGATCTAAATACAGCCCCCATCACTGCTTACTGAACTTGGGCAACTCACGACAGTGCTCTGAAATCATTCTTTTTCTTACCTGTAAAATGGTGATAATTCATGCCCAAAAGAGCATACATTTGACACATGGTAAGTGCTCAATAATCAGAGATTATTTCAGTGGATGGAAGAGGGAGAAACAGTGTAACAGTTGATATGTAAATATTTTAAAATAGGACTATGAGCCATTTAGCCCCTGCTTAGAAAATTTCTAAAGGCATCAGCATCAATGTACAAACACGATAAATTGACCGCACCTTATTAGAACATTCTCCAGCGTTTCCTAAAGGTAAGACTTATCCCCCAATCTCAGTCAAAATTGCTTTGAGCAATGACATGGTTGGAATGAAGAGGGTAAATTCAAATTTTTCTTATTAGATTGATCTTATTAATTTATAGTTATACCTTATGGTTTTTTGGTAGGGTTAAGAAACTCTGCAGAAGATTGCTGTTTCTCCTTTAAAGAAAAGATAAATCTAGGCCGGGCGAGGTGGCTCAAGCCTGTAATCCTAGCTCTTTGGGAGGCCGAGGCGGGCGGATTGTTTGAGCTCAGGAGTTCGAAACCAGCCTGAGCAAGAGCGAGACCCCGTCTCTACTAAAATTAGAAAGAAATTAATTGGACAACTAAAAATATATAGAAAAAATTAGCCGGGCATGGTGGCGCATGCCTGTAGTCCCAACTACTCGGGAGGCTGAGGCAGGAGGATCGCTTGAGCCCAGGAGTTTGAGGTTGCTGTGAGCTAGGCTGAAGCCACGGCACTCACTCTAGCCCGGGCAACAGAGTGAGACTCTGTCTCGAAAAAAAAAAAAAAAAAAAAAAAGAAAAGATAAATCTCGTATTTCCTGGCCTACATTCAGTTTTGAAATTCTACTTTTTCTCTTTATCCTAATGTTTATCTCCAAAAGCACTGAGATGGCAATTCTGAAAACTAAGTATCTTACAATCATTTTCAACATAACTCAAAAACTACTCAAGTTTAATCTACATGTGACCCATGATGCTAGTCTCCATGCTAGTCACCAAAAAGACTAGAATACAGCCTGGGGGGCAGACAGACTCCTGTCCAATAGCATCAGCATGTTGTAACGTTATAATGGACAAATGGGAAAGGCACCAGGGTGGCAAAGAAAGGACAGGAAAAATTTTATGTAATGGTAAGTTTGGGGCGGGTTTAAAAGTCTGAGTTTGAATGCACCAGGTGGATGGAGGAAGGGAAGGGGCTTCCTACCATGTTTGAACATTCAGAGGCATGAAAAAGTATAGTATGCTTGAGGAAGATACACAAACCCACTGTGGCCAGAGCATAAGTTGTAAAGGTAGAGGGTGAGTAGTGTGGAAAGTTAATTTGGGAATCATGAAGCCCTTTTATGTCAGCCTAAGAAGAAAAAAAAGAACAAAGATGAAACCTAATTTATACCAATATTTATATAGTTCATGAAATAAGAACCAGCAAAAAAGACAGATTGTGTTGGTTATTATCCAAACTCTATCCCCACCCTAGTTGTTCCAAGTATCTTCTTACTTATCTACAGGAAAGGCTGTCTTTCTACTGAAATGAGCCAATAAATCTGGGGTTCTCTGCTAGAGTAGTACCAGGTAACATAATTAGTTTAATCTTGCTCTGTGATGAAACTGAGAGTAATGAAGGCCCTTCTGCTTAGTTAGGTAAACAGTCCCTTCTGTAAACTTTGTGCATAGCCAGTCTACCACTTTGCTCCTTTCCATCCTTATCCAATGGGTACACAGGGTTTCTCCGTCCTTTTAAGAGCACCACACTGGGAAACACCAGCAGGGACCAAGTTCATATGCTATCTCCTTGTTGGAGATTGGTCTTCACACTGCTATGTCCTTCTACAGGCAATGAAAGATGAAGAATGGGTGCTAACTACCTAGGCTCCCAGTGGACTCTAACCTTTTGCTGGAGGTAATTATGACAGATTGAAACTCCCACAGAGTCTGAAACAAGAGCAAGAGAACAAAGACAAATGCTACAGCAAGGTCAAGTTGTATGAAAATGGAAAAGTGACCAACTGTTTAGACAATTAGGTGGTCACTATTACCCTAGAAGGGACAGTATCCATAGAATGATTTAGAAATAAATGAAAGATGAGGAAATCAAAACAGAGTATAGCCTCCTCTTTGGAAAAGTTCTGATGATAAGGGAAGGAAAGAGGGTAGTAGCTTAAAGGAGTCTCATGGGAATAAAAGCATTTACTGGGAGGTTCATGAGCCTGTTAGAGTAATCGTTATTTCCTTATTATTATTTCCTTTTGTTTTATGGAAGGAAAATCATCTTACTTTGCTGATGTGCTCAGGAGCTTGGTCAGGAGTGTTGCTGAATTCTCCACCAATCTGCAGGTCACTGACACAGCGAATTGAATCCCTCAGTTCTGTGAGCTTTTGACTGCCCAATACCAGCACTGTCTGGTATGGTTTGTGTTCTTTGTGCTAAAAGTCAAACAGTAAATAAATGTCTACTTAGAGACAAATGAATAAAACCACAAATCCTGTCACAACCAGATCTAAATTAAGTTACTGGTTTTCTTAAATTGTCCCCATAACTTGGTTCTGTGTTTTCTTAGAATCTATATTTGTCTATTTCACATCCATTAATTAGAGGGCCAAACTAACATCAAAATTACTTACATCTCCCCTGTGATCCAGAGCCCATACTCTGAAACCACATTCTTTATCTAACTCTCACACACCAAGCCAATATTTCCCCCAGCTACCCCATCGACCTAAATCAACCCAGACCAGGACACTGGGTAAAGGGACAGCCCCTATGCCCCAAAGCCTGCTGGAATTATTCAAACTAGCCAATCCTAAATTGTTTACTCTTCCCTGCCTTACTTTTTCCACAGAAACCCCAATAAAAACTGGGGTCTATGCATTCCCCTCTCTCCAGTCAGCCTCCTGGCTAAGAATAGTGCTTTTTTCTGTTCCTGTGTGGCATGGCCCCTCCTCTCAAGAAATGTAGTAAACACCTTCTTTCAAAGGCATTGGCCTCTCTGTGTCATCACTTGGTCACCTCCATAAATTAAAAACCCATTGATACAACTGAGATACTTGACAACAGAACTTTTCTAGTTTAAGCTAAAAATTTATAATCAAGATGCTACCAAACTGACATTAGCATTGAGAGCCTTTGGAATAAAACTTCGTCTAGCAGAATGGTCTTTTAAAATTTCCTAAAAGTTACCTCACTGAAGTCAGGCAATTTATACCCTAACCTCAGGTGATAAACCCAAAGATTCATTTTTTTTTGCTTACTAGTAATTTGAGACCTTAATCAAGCAAGGTAATTAGTACAACTATATTCCAGATGCTTCATAAACACCTATTTATTCGTAAGTGCGATTTATGTATAGTAATATTTCAATTAAACCACATCTGAGTTTCTGAAACATCTATTTAGGGAATCAAGAATATATACACTCTGGGCTAGGACAGACTTCGGAGAAATTCCTGGATACCCCTTACTTGTTAACTTTCCATATTTTCATCAAAGAAGAGCTGTCTTTAGTTAGTTCAGTAACTTCCCAAGTGTTCTAAATTTGTGAACAAAGGTTACTCTGCACTCCTCCACTAGCCAACTGTTCTGCAAAAAAATCCCTCGAGAATTCATAGAATTCGAATTATTGTGGATTTATATATACTTTCAGCTGCTTCTAGTGCAGAAATTAGGTACACATTCCAAAATTATAACCGTAATCCTATTGATCAAAAGTGTTTGAAATTTGACCATATTCCCTACTAAAAGAACCCAAAAATACAAACTGTCAGCTCTAAAAATAAGATGTCATATAGGCAGTATATGCTTGCATTTATTTTGAATGCAAGCATAGGAATGTGACTCTTCAAATCACTAAACCCTCTGACAAAAGTTACTCAGATTATCCATGAAATCCAAAAGGTTTTACTACTGACCTTATGAAATATAACAGGATACAAGATATTCACAGATAGGATAAGCTCCCCTTCTTCAATCATGTCTGCTGGATTTTCAGGCTTTTTTCCTATGGCATGTGACTCCTAAAGAACGAGAACGAGACCTTGAAATCAGACATTGTAACTCAGACAAGAGGCAATATGGTATAATGGCTATCGTGGTGCCAGAGGTTGAGTCAGACAGCCCTGGGTTTGATGCCTAATTCTACTTCAGGAAAACTGTTAAGACATCTCTAAGCTTTGGTTTCATCTTTTATAAGAAAGGAAAAAAAAAAAACCCAAATACCAAAAAGTATTTATTTTACAAAATTATTGCTGGGAATGTGTACATAAAGCATCTAATAAGATGTTTGGCACTAAGTGCTCAGCAACTGATGATCAAACAGGAATATCAACTAATGTTGGTATAACACTGGCAGTTCTAGTTACTTTTTTACACCAGAGACTTAGAATGTAAATACAGATCTGTTTGGCTCTAAATCCCTTGTGTTTCTGTTTGGCTCTAAATCCCTTGCGTTTCTACAGTTCTACAATAATAGTTGAAGACTTTAATATCACACTTTCAATAAAGGTTAGAACAACCAGACAGAAGAGTAACAAGGAAACGGAAGACTTGAACAACAGTATAAAACAATTAAACCTAATAGACATATACAGAACTTTCTATTCAATAATAGCTAAATATAGATTCTTCTTAAGTGTATATGGACAATTCTCCAGGACAGACCACCAAATCTTAAATTTTCAAAAACCAAAATCTTAAAAAGTATCTTTTTTCGTAAGTGAATGATACTAAAAGTCAATAACAGAAGGAAAATTGGAAAGTTCACAAATAGGCGGAAATCAAACGCACTCTTAAAACAACCAATGGGTTAAAGAAAAAAAAACACAAGTGAAATTAGAAGATATTTTGAGACAAATGAGAAGGAAAAACACAACGTATCAAACTTAAGAGATGCAGCAAAAGCAACAATAAAAAGGAAATTTATAGCTATAAATACCTACATTAGAAAAGAACAACCTCAATCAATAACTGTACACATTAAAGAACTCAACAGAAGAATAAACTAAACCTAAAGCTAGCAGAAAAAAATGAAATAAAGATTAGAGTGGAGATAAATGAAACAGAGTAGAAAACAATATAAATAAATCGATCAAAACAAAAGTTGGTTCTTTGAAAACATCATCAAATTTGACAAACTTCTGCTGCATTTAAGCAAAAAGAAATTGATGGCAAGTACGTGTGGAAAAAGAAAAAAAAGAAAAAAGAAAGGCTCAAATTACTAAAAAATGAGGAATAAAAGTGGAGCCATTACTACTGATTTTACAGAAATAAAAGGATTACAAGAGAAAATTATGAACTATTATATGCCAACAAACTGGATAACCTAGATAAAAAGGACAAATTCCTGGAAACACACAAACTATCAAAGCTGATTCAAGAAGAAATTAAAAAACCTAAATAGACCTATAACAAGTAAGGAGATTAAATCAGTAACAAAAAACCTCCCAACAAAAAAAAGCTCAGGACTAGACAGATGACTTCACTGGTGAATTCTACCAAATACTTTAAGAAGAATTAACACCAATGTGTTTCAAATTCTTCCAAAAAATCTGAAAAGGAGTGAACACTTCCTAACTCATTCTATGAGGCCAGCATTATCCTGATGCCACAGCCAAAGACACCACAAGAAGAGAAAACTACAGGCCAATATCCCTTATGAATAGGAATGCAGTAATCCTCAACAAAATATTAGCAAACCAAATTCAGCACCATATTGAAAGGATTATGTACCACAACCAAGTGGGACTTATCCTTGGAAAGCAAGGGTAATTTAAAGTTAGCAAATAAGGCTGGGCATGCTGGCTTGAGTCTGTAATCCCCGCACTTTGGGAGGCCAAACCAGGAGGATCATTTGAGGCCAGGAGTCTGAGTCCAGCCTGGCCAACATAGTGAGATCTTATCTCTAAAAACAAATAAAATTAGCCAGGCATGGTGGCATGTGCCTGTAGTTCCAGCTACTCAGGCTACTTGGGAGGCAGAGGCAGGAGGATCATTTGAGCCCAGGAGTTCCAGGTTGTAGTCAGCGATGATCATGTCACTGTACATGCCTGGGCAACAGAACAAGATACTGTCTCTTAAAAAAACCCAGCAAATCGGCCGGGCGCGGTGGCTCACGCCTGTAATCCTAGCTCTCTGGGAGGCCGAGGTGGGCGGATTGTTTGAGCTCAGGAGTTCGAAACCAGCCTGAGCAAGAGCGAGACCCCGTCTCTACTAAAAATAGAAAGAAATTAATCGGACAACTAAAAATATATAGAAAAAATTAGCCGGGCATGGAGGCACATGCCTGTAGTCCCAGCTACTTGGGAGGCTGAGACAGAAGGATTGCTTGAGCCCAGGAGTTTGAGGTTGCTGTGAGCTAGGATGACGCCACGGCACTCTAGCCCGGGCCACACAGTGAGACTCTGTCTCAAAAAAAAAAAAAAAAAAAACCCAGCAAATCAATCAATGCATGCAATACACTACACTAATAGAATGATGGTAAAAAACCAGTTCACATCTCAACTGATGCAGAAAAGCATTTAACAAAGTCTAACACCCTTTTGTGATAAAAGCACTAAATAAAAGGAACAGAAGGGAACTTCCTCAACACGATAAAGGGCATATATGAAAAAGCCACACAGCTAACATACTCAATGAGGGAAGACTGAAAACTTTTCCCCTAATATCAGCAACAAGATAAGGATGTACACTTTTGCCACTCTTATACAACACAGTATAGAGAATTTCTATACTATTAATATGTTCTAGACAGAGAATGAAAAATGGAAATAAGGGAGGGAGGAAAGAGGGAGAGAGGGAATAAATTATCTTTGTTTGCAGATGACATGCTCTTATTTGTACAAAATCCTAAAGAATCCAAACACACACACACACACACACACACACACACACACACACACACACCAGTTAGAGCTAATAAACAAATTAAGTGAAGGTGCAGAATACAAAAGCAACACACAAAAATGAATTGTATTTCTATACACTAGCAATGAACATTCTGAAAAAGAAATTAAAACCATTCCATTTATAATGCATCAAAAAATAATCAAATACTTAGGGGTAAATTTAACCAAGGACGTGAAAGGCTTGTACACTTAAAAACTACAAAACAAGCTGGGCACAGTGGTGAGTGCCTATAGTCCCAGCTACTGGGGAGGCTGAGGTGGGAGTATCACTTGAGTTCAGGAGTTCAAGACCAGCCTAGGCAACATATTGAGATTCTGTCTCTAAACTTAAAAAAATAAAATTTAAAGAAATAAAAAAATGAGTACAGTTGTGGGGGCTTGGGGAAAATATTGCTGAAAAAAATTGGAAAGACATCTCTTGTTCATGGATTGGAAGACTTAATATCGTTAAGATGTTAACACTCCCCAAAGTAATCTACAGATTCAATGCAATCCCTGTCAAAATCCCAATGGTATTTTTCCCAGAAATAGAAAAACCTATCCTAAAATTCATATGGTATTTTGACAGCCAAACAGTCTTGAAAAAAGTTGGAAGACTCACATTTCCTGATTTTACAAAGCCACAGTAGCCAAAACAGTACAGTTCTAGGACAAGGATATATAGACCAATGGAATAGAACAGAGGAACGTATATGATCAAATTGACTTTGGATGAAAATGCTAAGACTATTCAATAGGGAAAGGACAGTCCAGGAAAAATAAATATCTATATGCAAAAGAATGAAGTCAAACCATTACCTCATATATAAAAAGTCAACTCGAGCCGGGCGCGGTGGCTCACGCCTGTAATCCTAGCTCTCTGGGAGGCCGAGGTGGGTGGATTGTTTGAGCTCAGGAGTTCGAGACCAGCCTGAGCAAGAGCGAGACCCCGCCTCTACTAAAATTAGAAAGAAATTAATCGGCGAACTAAAAATATATACAAAAAATTAGCCGGGCATGGTGGCGCATGCCTGTAGTCCCAGCTACTTGGGAGGCTGAGGCAGTAGGATCACTTGAGCCCAGCAGTTTGAGGTTGCTGTGAGCTAGGCTGATACCAAGGCCCTCTTGCCGGGGCAAAAGAGTGAATATTTTTCTAAAAAAAAAAAAAAAAAAAGTCAACTCGAAATGGATCAAAGGCCTAAACGTACATGCTTAAGCTATAAAACTCTTACAAGAAAGCATAGGGGAAAATCTTCATAACACTGGATTTGGCATTTTCTTAAGTATGACACCAAAGCACAGAAGACAAAAGAAAAAAAAAACAGATAAATTGAACTTTATCAAATTTAAAAAGTTTTGTACATCAAAGGACATTATTAAGAAAGTAAAAAGATAACCCATAGAATGGGAGAAAGTATTTCCAAATTATATGTATGGTAAGGGTTTAGTATCCAGAATATACAAAGAACTGTTACAACGAGACAAACAACCCAATTTAAAAATGAGCAGAAAATGTAAGTAGACCTTTTTCAAAGAAAATATACAAATGGCCAAAAATCAAATGAAAAGATGTTCAGCATGACCAGTTATTAGGGAAATGCAAATCAAAACCACAATGAGATACCACTTCACACCAGCTAGGATGGCCATTATACAAAAAGCAAAACAGAAAATAAGTGTTGACAAGGATATGCAGAAATCAGAACCTTCGTGCACTGCTGAGGGGAATGTAAAATGGTACAGTTGCTATGGAAAACAGTTTGGTGCTTCTTCAAAATTTTAAACATAGAATTAACCATAAGACCCAGCAATTCCGCTCCTACATACATACCCAAAATAATTGAAAACAAAGACTCAGATACTTGCACACCAATTTTCATGGCAGCATTATTCACAATAGCCAAAAGGTGGAAACTACCAAATGTCCATCAACAGATGAACAAACAAAATGTGGTATGTCCATACAACAGACTACTGTGGAGCCATAAAAAGGAATGAAGTTCTAATGCTATAAAATGGATGAACCTTTAAAATATTACGCTAAATAAAATAAGCCATTCACAAAAGGACAAATATTGTATGATTTCACTAATATGAGGTATCTAGAATAGGTAAATTCATAGAGATAGAAAGTAGAATAAAGGTTACCAGAGACTGCAGGAGGGGATATTGGTGAGTTACTGCTTAATGGATAGAGAATTTCTGTTTGGGAAGATTAAAAAGTTCTGGAAATAGTGTGACAGTTACACAGCATTGTGAATGTACTTAAATGCAACTTAAACACTTAAAAATAGCTAAAATGGTAAATTTTATGTTATGTAAATTTTACCACAATAACAACAAAGTGGGAGAGATGATGGATGCCATTATGCATTATTAAGTGCCCCCAGTACAGTGTCTGGCATATAGTAGGTTCTGAACCCATCATGTCTACTAGCTCCTAATTCCTCAGTACTCGTCATCTTGAATTTTTCTTAGGATTTTACACAAGAGATAATGGATTAGGATTAAGAATGTGGTTAAACCAAAATCAGGAGCAGAACAAAAAGATCAGAAATAGGGCAATGATGAGGCATAAATTTAGCCTAATTCTGAGAGCAGGACCAAACTAAAAGCAAAAAAATAAATAAATAAAGGCAGCAATATGAAAGAGTTAAATATGCAGTCAGTTGAGTTCTGTGGGTCCTTTTTCTCTCACTAGTTCCCAGTCCCAGTGGAGTTTCTCTAGTTTGTTTCCAAATAAGCATATCCAATATAAAACTATCATACGGTCATCACTAACACTGAATGACAGTTCACTGTTTCATGAGAAAAGGGTGAAAAGATGAGAATCTTACCATCTCATAAGCAAATGTTTCTTGTCTGCAGACACGATCTATTGTGATGGTTTCTTCCCGATGTTCCAAGAACTTCTTTCTAACCCTATTGTAAATATAAGAAAAATCAAAGTTCAACATTTTTACTGGGGCTTCAAAAACATCTTTAATATTTAACTTTTTATTTTGAACTAATTTTAGACTTACAGTGGCAAAAATAGTACAAAGACTTCTCTCATATCTCTTATTCAGTTTCCCCTAAGTTAACAACTTACATGATTACAGAAAGATTATCAAGAACAGGAAATTAATACTTATATAATATTACCAGCCATAGACCTTTTTTGAATTTCACACAATTTTTAATTTAGTGCCTCTTTTTTTCTATTTCAGATTCCTACCCAGGATCCCACATGGCATTTGTTATATTTCCTTAGTCCCCTCAGGTCTGTTACAGTCCCTCATTGTCTCCTTATCTTTCATGACCATCACATGTTCAAAGATTTCTTATCAGTTATTTTGTAGAATGTCTTTCAATTTGGGTTTGGCTGCTGTTTCCTAATGATTGGAATAAACTTAGCATTTTTGGCAAGCATACCACAAGAATGATGTCCTTCTCAGTACATGAAATCAAGAGGTTCATGATGTTAACATGTCATATTACCGGTGATGTTTACCTTGGTTAAATTCCTGTCTGCCAGATTCCAGCACTAGAGAGATATTTCCCCCCACTGCTAAATTTGACTGGCTAAAAAAAAAAAAAGAGAGAGAGAGAGAGAGATACTTTCTTTTTCTATGAACTTAATAAACATTTTTGGGGGAGACACTTTGAGGCTATGCAAATCTTGTTTCTCTTCAAACTTCACCCAAGAATTTCATCAGTAGATTTTTATGTATAAAATTTATTAGTATTACTATGGTATATGCAGTATATGCCTAATGGTGATTCTCTTTCCCTTCTTTTATATTTATTCACTGGAATTCTATTATGAGGAAGACTTGTCTCTTTCCTCCCATTTACTTATTTGATTTCTGTTAGTGTGAACCCATATTTATTTTATTCAATGGGTTAAAGTCTAATACTATCATTTTGTTACTCAAATTATTCTAGCTTTGGTCATTACGAGTCCCTCCAGGTTGGTTCCTATTCTTTCAACAAGGCTTTTTCTTTTTTTTTTTTTAAAGCATTTCCTTACTTCCTGGTACTACAAGACACTAAAGGCTCATCCTATATTTTTCTTGTCTCAGCCCTGGTATCGACCACATCTAGGAGGACTAGTTCCTTTACTGGAGAGGGGGTTTATAGAGACCAGGATCTGGGTGCTAGGCATTCTCACCTGAAGTTTTAAAATTTTCAGGTGAAGGGCCTTTCTGATTTTTGTTTTTGTTAGTAAATCCAAGGTTTATTACACTGTAACTAGAGTGTCTGTAATATTTCTATTTTATGTTACTGTTGTGTCCTTTGTGCCCTAATACATAATCAATTTTTGTGAATATGCCATAAAGTCTCCATTATCAGGGAGCAAATTTTATGTCCATATACATCCATAAGATATAAACTTAAAAGTGTCCTTTGTCACATTTAATGCTTTGGGGCTTAAATTCTATTTTTCCTTTATCAGAATTGCTACTCCTGCTCAATTTTTGTTTCCATTTACCTGATTTACTTTTGTCCAATTGTTTATTTTTAGCTTTTGTGAATCACATTTAGATGTCTTTTGTCTCCTCAAGGTGTTTGTTTTATAAGCCAAACTGAAGCTTTCAATAGGTTACATAAGACTAATATATTTGGTCTCAAATTTTCTAATTATACATATTCTATTACCTTTTTTTTCATTATATCTATTACTTTCTCATTTATTTTTTAGAAATTGGGGAGTAGGGATTGTTATTTCTATTTTTGTTCTAGTGATTACCTTTGAACTTAAATTTTTAAAATACCCTTAGTTACCCATTTTCTTATTTAATCTTTTACTATCTGGTTTGTCAGGTTTTTCTTCCCCTCAGTATTCTTTAAAACCCACCTGTTGCCTACACATTATCCTCTTTTCTCCTCCCATCTTTTTAGTTGCAATATTGCACTTTGTTACAATATGCAACAGTTAGACATTAGTCTTCTACCCTGCTCCTCACCTTTTTAATCCTTTTGCTGAAAATTTCCCATCATCAATTGGTTGCATGAAGCTCATCCTCTAAGATATTCCTCAGAAATGACTGATGGACACAGAATTACCTATGTTCTTATATATCAAAAACTTTTTCTATAGCCTTGCTATTTGAAGGCTATCTCAGCTGGATATAAAATCCATAGTTCACACTTGTCTTCAATTTTAAAAAAGATACAGCTCCATTGTTCCCTTGCTTTGTATGTCAGTTTTGCAATGTCTGATGCTTTTCATAAGTTTACCTTTGTAAGTTATATGTTCTTTTTGCCTAGAAGACTTGATGATTTTATCTTTATCTCTTAAATCTAATAGTTTTACTAAGATATATCTCAGTTGATAATTATGGGTTAATTTTTCTAGGTACCCAGTAAGCCCTTTCAGTTTGTAGATTTATGTATTTTTCCACTTCTGGAAATTTTTCTTAGATTATATCTTTAAATATTAATTCTGTTCCATTGCTTTGTTTTTCTTCTTTAGGAACTTTGATAATAGCAATATTACGTCTTCCTTGCCTGTTTTCCATTTCCAATACTTTCTCTGACTCTGACTTTACCTTTTTCTTTATGTCTTTTTAAATTCTCTTGGTTGTTTTCATGCCTTTCTTCATTGCCATTATTAAATTTTTATTTGAGTTCTATTCTCCCTTGGGTATCTCAAAATTTACTCAATTAGAGATAATTTTGTCTTTTTCTTCCATTTCTTTCCTGTATTTCATTAATTCTGTTTTCATTTCTCCCTTTTTCATCATTTCCATTCTTAGTTTTAAATTTCTAATCCAAAGTGTTTTTATACCCTCAAATGCTTCTTTGAGTATATTCAATTCTATCTGCAGTGTAGACTTACAGGTTTTCTTCTGTTTTCTGGGGAGGGAGTCTCTCAGGGTGATTTGTAAAAACAGTTGTTTGCTGATTTTCTACAGTAAGTTCTCTTTGGATTTTATTTCCTCTTGTTCATTTTTGTGACACTTGGGAGGACAGGGATGGTAGTTTACAAGATTCCCCAGTATAATGTCATTCTAGCAAAGCCCATATATATTGGAGTTGTTTGCGTTTTCTTAAATTGTTTGTAGTTGTTTTGGAGTTGTGAGCCCTCCAATTTTGTGGTCATCTTTTTCTTGCAGGACTCTCAAGTTTCCCCTTTTCATCCTTTCAGTACTCAACCAGTAAACACTGCTTTCTTGGCCACAAAAGTGAGGGGGCTAGGCAGAATAATCTAACAGAAATTGCTATTGTATTAAAAGTAATGTTGCTGAAGCTTTGGGGATGTAATGCAAGTTTCAGTAGCACCCATGTAGTAATAATTGTCTCTCCTATTCCTAGAAATTAAAATCTTCGGTTTAAGAAGTCAAAATTTCTTACCTGGGCATTGTCTTGGAGAAAATATAAAAACAAAAAACAAACAAAAAGTGAAAATTTCAAAAGTGCTGAAGATAAGTTATTTAGCTTGCTATAGATTAAAGAGAGTAGCATAGTAGCACGTATCAAAGAAGAATCAATTTCTACCAATTATCTTTTTTTCCCTAACGTATCTGAGTCCAGTAGCTCCTTAATTATGAAGGGGAAAAAGTACTAGAAATTGATTTATTTTGTGTCATAATAAAGGGATCGTGTGCGTAGGTTTTGTTTTTATTTTTATGTTTAGAAAGAGAAAGCACAGATAGATTTAGGTTTTTGCCACAAATCTAATTTTTTTTGCAGGACCATTAAGGTTAATACCAGTCCCGCTTTAAATACAACAGCTTTACAGTACATCAAAACAATCCCAGCAGAGGAATGCTATATTAACTCCATTAATGTTATATTATATATATAAATCTTTCCACCTATCCTATATTTGGAGGGACTAGAAGACAACCAACAACATCTAGCTGACCTAATAGTATAGAGAGCAGTCAGGGAAAGCAATGTGTTATTTAGTCTTAAAATTACTATTCAGAGTGGCTTAATAAAATCATTATAAGCCAATTCATATGTTATTAACTATAGCAACAAGTCTGCTTTGTTTATGATTAACACCAACCTTCTTTTTACAGTCTCTCTCTAAAAACCACTTCCTGAGTCTTGATAGTTTTTTATTACATTCATTCTACAAATATTTATTGACTTCCTATTAGGTGCCACAGTTCAAGGAACTGGGGCTATAGGAGAGAATGTGACAGATACAGCTTATGGAACTTGTGAGTGCAGCTAAGATGACAGAAAATTAATCAAGTATATTATAAATATGATGAGTATTTTCATAGAGAAGCATAGGATGTTACATGAGCATGCAAGGGGACCTAAATGGAGTTAGGACTTGAAGGATGAGTAGAAGTCAGCAAGGCTGGGGGCATAGGAAGAATGAGTGTTTTAGGCAAAGGCCTGCAGCAAGAGAGCACATTCTGGGAAATGAAACATAGAGCAGCATGGCTGGAACATTCAGACAGAGACCTGAAAAGATCCCCAAGGTCCACCCCATCGAGGCCTTTATGAGCCACTTAAGGATTTAACACTTTAGCCTACGGGCCATCAAAAGGTATAAGCAAGGGAGTAACATAATCATATGTGCATTTTAGACAAATCTAACTAATCAATCAACAATACAAGGTCACCAATTGGAGCAGGCAAGATAGTAGGCTTAATTTAAGGCCAATACACAAATGGGAGTTTGGACTCTATGAGCCTTCAAGCACGTTAGAAATGTTAGAATTCAAGACAATATAAATGCATCTATTTCCTAAGGAATCTGGAAAGGAATCTCAGGGTCTTAAAGATGTGACAGGTTTCAGATGGAAGAGAGACCATGTGCATAATCTGTAATATCCAGAGCCATTTGAAAGAGAAAGTGGTGGAATACGAATCTAGAAAGGCAGATTTAGGATATATATGGAAGGCTTCAAATGTCTCGCTAGGGAGTTTGAAATTTTTCCATATAGAAGATGTAGAGCCATTGACAATTTCTAAGCAGAATCGCATACTTAGGTAGCATAATGCATAAGTCAGGAGAAAAAACTTACTAAGAAAAGACAGAAGCACTCCAAGTGTTGCTGATGTAAATGTTAGCAACGAGGATCGGGGGAACAGATTTGGCAGTTATTACGAAAGAAAACAAAGGCAGAGTTGAAATGACTACCCAAGTATTTGAGGGGGTTAATAGAAGATTGGATCAAGAATGACAGAACAGTGTGAAATTTAGTGAAATCATAAATTCATGATAACATGCACAATTTTTCTATTATCATAGTGTGGTAAGCAGATTATAACTGATCCGTGAGCTATATGTTATCCAGTCTGTACAGAAAATTAAAGTACTTAGAAACTTTCATTATAAGTTGATAGTAATTTTATGTCTGTTGAATTTAATAATAATAAAAAATTTGAACTCATATTGTCTTTTTTAATTTCTTTTTTTCAGTAATTCTCTTTTATAGGATTTTACAAAAGTATAGATCTGTCAAAGATTAAAAATTTAAAAATCTGACCCTTTATCACAGACAGTTCAGGAAACACTACCAGAATACTTAGCTTACACCCCAAATCTAAGCAGATTTACTTCTTTGTAAATACACATTCGAAAATAAACACGCATTTGAATATGGACTGGATATTACAGATTATGTATTTATTGTTAATTTTCTTAGGAGAATGATATGTTGTAGATATGTAGGAGCTGATATATTTAGAGGTAAATTATCATGTCTGCAACTTATTGAATGGTATAAGTAAAAGAAAAAGATACACAGCAGGCAACCCATAGACATACAGCTAAAGCAAATATGGCCAAATGTTAACGGTGCTTGAATTTAAGGAGTGGGTATATGGATAATGACACTATACTTTCAACTTTTCAAAACATAATGTCGAAAAAAATGTTTAAATAAATAGCACATAACAAATGCAAAGTCCTCCATACCCCAAAGTCACCAGGTCAGTATCCTCCGGGATGACTTCTGGATCCTCGCCTTCCTCAAAACATTTCAGTTTATCAAGGCTAAAACAAAAAGGGAAAGCAATACTTGAAGGTCGGCCATGCGTCTTGTCCATACCGAGTCAGGGTTGTATTCTAAATACATCACTGAATAATTAATCAGATAAAATCCAGCAGGAGACTCAGAGGAGAGACCAGACCTCAAGGCAATGATTCCTTCAATGTGCTGATATTTTATATCGAAAAGGATATATGGCTGATAAAGGCAGCCAATATCGTTAAACAGAGAAAGGGATCAGAAAAAGTTATTTTTATGTTTTCAAGCCAAATAAGGCACTTTTTGGGAAAATTTCAGTAATAGCATACCCGGGAGGTCCACACAAGAAACCACAGTTAATCGAGGTTTTAACATTCCACCGATTAAGTCTTCCCCAGCCTCACCATTAATTACTCGGGTTCCTCCATTGTCAATGTGCCTGTCAATGGCAAGTACATGTCGCTGTTACCCTGATTGCTTTTCTTTATTAACAAGCACTTTTAAAATCAGAGAACAGAAAAACTAGCCTTTGATAAATATGCCTTGTTCCTTTACTCCAACTCGCAGAAATTGTGCGTCAGGGTGTTGGACTTTTCCTGGTGCTCCAAGAAGGCTACTGCCAGTTGAAAGCTTTGAAAAGGCGATCCTCCTACCCCAGGTATAAACCACAGGCCCTCCGAGGGATGAATCCCAGAGGACAGTAGGAACAAGGCTGCACCCCGGTTGGCCCCAAACTACAAGGGCCCCTCCGCCCCGCACTCACCCGCACACAGCCCTCAGCTCGGCCGCAGCCTCCAGGCTGCAACCCAGATCCCGGGCCACCGAGGCATCCTCACGATCCGAGTCAGCGACCTCCCCACGCCCGGGCAGCGCGGATGTCGGCGGCTCCCTCAGCGACAAGTCCCCGGCCCCGCGAAGCCGGCCACGCCACAGTTCCCCAAAGCCGCCCACATGGAAAGCGCGCGTGTTCAGCTCGGGAAGCTCGTATTCTGGAAAGTTGCAGCCGCCAGTGCTGGGGACAAGGTCCTGCCTGCCGTACACCCCGCTGCACGTTGGGCCGCCCGGACGGCCTTCAGCCATATTCGCCCCACTCCCTTCCCTGCAACAGCTCGGCGATTAAGGCCTCGCGGGGCCTGATGGGACCTGTAGTCGCGGGCGGCGACGGGCCGGCAAGCGGCGGGGCGGCGCGGTCGAAGCTGCAGACACTACATTTCCCGGCAAGCCTCACCCGGCCCGCTCCTGGGCGCGGCTCCAGGAGGCTCCGCACGCGTGGCTCGGCGCATTGTTCTCGGTGCCTGGGAGCTGCGAGGGGTGGTTGCAGATTTCGTGCACCGCAGTGGGTCCGCCAGGGTTCCCGGTGTTGCCTGAATTCCCGGCCCCTTCAGTTATGCAGCCACGCCCCCCGCCGGTAGGGCGGCCTAGCTATACTCTGACGTTGGCGCCTTGCTTGTCCTGGGCCGGAGAATCGGGACTGCTCTGCTTCTTCACTGCCCTGGAACCTGCCAGGGGCCCACACCAGGGACACTACCAGCCTTCCAGATCCGGCCCTTTCAGAACCTCCCAAAGGACCCAAGTTTGGGTACATGTATATACATATGCATTGGTGTATGCGTAGTGTTTCAGAGCGACTACTCCGTATCACGCACTGTACATTATTAACCTAATGTGTATTTTTAAAAATCCCAACAACCTTTCCAGGTAGGGATTGTCATCCCCATGTTGCTGTTGAAGAAAGAGTTAACTGCTAGGAAATAGAAACAGGATTGAATCTGATCTCAATTGGTCTAGCTCCAGATGGAGCGGTCTCCATCTCTCAGAGGCCCCAAAGGACATGGCAGGATATACAAAAGAATCCTGACTATTTAATAGGACGTAATCATATGGCATGTAATTCACCCATCTGAAGTGTTCATTCAATGGTTTTTAGTATACTTACAGAGTTGGGCAACCATCACCACAATGTATTTGAGAACTATTTTTTCTACTTTTTCCTAAAAAGAAATCTGGGAAGGTTTTACATTAAAAAGTTTAACACGTTTAATTACAGGAATGCTATGCAATAAAACTATGCTATTCAGAAGATTAAAAACAAATCTTAGTGCATGTGAAATGGCATCTCATTGTGGGTTTGATTTTCATTTCCCTGATGATATTGAGCATGTTTTTATATGTTTATTGAAGATCTGCAGATTTCTTTAGAAAAATGTCTACTCAAGTCCTTTACCCATTTTTAAGTAGGTCGTCTTTTTATAGGAGCCCTGGTTTTTATCAGTACAGGATGGTAGGAGACATTTGTTGTTTTTGTCTGCCTAGCATTCTGTTTCTTAGATCTGACCCTCCTTACTTTTTTTTTTTTTTTTTGGTCCTCCTGGGGTTGCCAGTTTCCATTCTGGCCACAGTGATTGGTCCAAGGATGAGCAAGTCACTCAATTAGAACCAATCAGAATCCTCCTGTGGATTTTCTCTATCCACTAAGAAGCTCTTTATCAGTTCTGAGGACCTAACGATGTGTCCTAGACACAGATGGTGCCTGCCAGTGGAAAAGTTAGAAGGCACAGAGGCAAGAGTTTGAATAAGCAAAGGCATAAAATGGAGAAAAAGAAAAACCAAGTGACTTGGAGCTACCGGGACTGAGGCCATCTCCTCCCCATATGTGGCAGTACGTAAGGGAGGCAAAAGTTTACCTCTACCCTCATGGGGGTTTTCAGCTGGGCCTGAAAATTAAATTGACATAAGACAGATCAACAGGGGAAAACCACACAAATTTATTCAATACAAATTTTATGTGCCATAGGATCCTTCGTCAGGAAAGGAAGACCCAAAGATGCAGTTAGAATTGAATACTTACGTGCTGAATTGGATGAAGAGTAGTAATTAGGAAAATGTGACAAGGGGCTTGGGGTAGGATAGTTAATTGTATAGAGAAGTGATTATGAAGATAAGGGTCAATTTAATAAGGTTTTTTGGTACATATTTCCCTCAGCCTCGGTTTTCTATCCTTGATGGTAAAATCATACTTTCCTTCTGATAAAGGGAAGATATCTTTCACATGGGAATTTCATCTCCTGCTTTTAAGAAACAAAACGAAGATCAGAGTGATCTTCTTGCAGCTGCTGTTTTTCAAGTGCTTTTAACTCAAAATAGTCAGTATGCCAGAATGGCATATCTTGGGGTGGCCTGTCCTGAACGCCTTCGCTAGTAATTTTTTTGAATCATAAGCTAGTTTGAGTGGGTTCTCTTGCAACCTAAAGACCAATGGTCTTCACAAATCCTGAAAGATTTGATCTAAATTTCTCGACAGAGGGAGCTCTCACTCCAGAGAATGAGGTCATGCTTCAGGTGGAAGAAAATTCGGGTCTAACATATATCTAGAGATTTGGTAACATTGGTTTTAGGAGTGGAGACCACAGAGGTTCCTGAGCAGTGCCATGAGGCCACCCTTGTCTCAGGATCCTGCCATTCAAATGTGACTGAGTATTATTCATAGTCATTTGTACAGTATCATTAATGGCATGTAGATCCTGCATGAATCTATACTCATTGGTGTGGGGAACTTAAATTCTTTCTATGCGTCCTGGGGGCCCGTCAGCCCATACGGCCTTATTCACTTTTGGTAGCTTTCTTGTTGCAAATGCTACAACAACGTGCAGGTCTGCTGAGGCCCAAACTTCAAAGCAAATGGCTCTGCAGTGGCAGTCTCCTGTATGCTTCACCAGGTCCTGGCATTCATGCAGCAGGAGCTTGGTGGTACCCCCAGAGCTGAGGGGGTGCTTCTGGAATAGCTTCTGGCGCTCCCGCTGCTCGCCCAGGTCTGCCTGATTTGGCAGTGGAAGGGGTGATGGGTACAGCTCCAATTCTGGCAGCGGCTCTCCATGGTCCACCTTCTGGGCCCATTGTGGGGAGTTCCTGAGCTGCTGCTTGCAGATGGCTGCCTCAACATTGCCTAGCCCTGCACAACACCTCACCTCGGCTGGCACTCAGCAGCCAACCTAGAACTGGTGCAGATCAGGGGAATCCGACTGTCCAACTAAAACAAGGCACTGCAAAGGCCCATGGCGGTCAGGGTAGCAGGGGGCCCCAGCAGCACGAACCCGAGGGTGGCCAAGCCTACAGTGCCTCCCTGGTGTGTAGGGATCTGGCAGCAGGGGATGGGGTTCATGAGATCCAACCCAGTTAATCCCTTCCCAATTTTATCACACAGCCTTTCAGCCTTACTATTATGCAATTGCATGAAAGATTGTATGTGTGGGGTCTTGTCCCATTTACTTGACCTTTGATAAAATAATTCCAGTGGTCAGATAGTATAATCATTTAAGGTTCCATTCAGTGGCCACTTTTCCTCACACTCCAGCATGTACATTGGCTTTACTCTAACATCATTCTCTTTTAGACATAGACTCATACCTATTATATAAGTTAGCCATTCAGCCAAGATTCTTCCCAAGGGACTTTCAGATGGAACAGAAATGGGGCCTCTCATGTTAGGACAAAACTTACAAACAACAAACACAAACAATACAAGGAATTCCCAATGCAAACAATCTCAAATACCAGGGCTTACCAAACAAATGGGAACCACACAAACAAGAACCCAATTCTCTCAAATGAGAACCAGCCTCTCCTAATTCGAAAGGGAATGAATTCCCAAGATTCCCTGGGAACCATACAAATGAGTTCCAAATCCAAACCCAGTTCTCTAGTTCTGCTCAACCATGACTTCCACCCCCAAATGGTGCCTCCAAACAAGTCCAAACAAAATGGCTTGCCACAGAGCAGGAAGGTCTGAAAACCTCCCTCAAATAGGTGGAATCAAGGGTCTCAGCATGCACACCAGGGAACTTACTCAAACAAATGGCCAAGATGTGTGGACACTTCCAAATCCATTTCCTTTTCCTCAAAAAAGTTAAAGCTGGTCGGAGCTGCATCTAACTTAGAGAAGAGAGATGGAAGTTTCCTGGCACTAATCAGGCTCTGGAAGCTTCTGGGGTGGTCTCTCACTCTCTTATCCAAAAAGGCGATGCTCCTAGCCACGGCTTGACTTAGGGCTGCTCCCTGCCTCTTCCAGCAGTCACAGGGTGCTGTTCTACTGGGGTGCCAATGAGCCTACCCAGGGATGACAAATTCTGTTACTGAAAGTTTGGTACTTGTCCCCAAGGCCTAATGAAGAATGAGGGCAAGTGGTTTGAGGAGAAGGAAAGAGAAGTTTATTAATTTGCCAGCAAATGAAAAGGATGGGAGACTCTCATCTTAAAGTACCATTGTCTTCCCTATAAGCAGAAACACAAAGCTTTTAAAAGGAGTTTTCAGCTTTGGACAAAGGGAGATTTCAGCTTTAGGCAATTGCTGTTTAACTATAGCATCTCTGGTGAAGATAATCTGGTGATCTCTGCCCCAACAATTCTATTGAGCCATTTCCTATATCACAAAGGACACTCCCCTGCCCTCTGCTTGCTGGCCTTGGGCAGAAATGCAGGTTTTAATTCCCAAAAGAGTGGGAGGAGGATTAAAGAGACAACTTGTAATACATTTCGCCCTTTTTCAGGCCCTTCTGTTATAATCTCATATGCATTAATGCATTTTTAATCATCAAAGTTGCCATTTGAGGGAAGAATTAGGTCTATTTTTTTTTTAAGGAGCCATTTATTGAGGTATAATTGAAATGCAAAAAAAAAAAAAACTGTATACATTTAATATATACAACAATGAGTTTGGAAACAAGTATGAAACCATAACCACGATGTGTCCCAGAAACATATCCGACTTCCAGATCTAGGACACTCTAGTTCCAGTCTATTCTCTCCAGAGGCTGTACTCTTAGTAACTAAGGGATAAATTATTGGATAAGCTTGTTTGTTTAATTCAACTATGAAAGGTCATCAGTGTGTCCAGAAAGGTTTTAAAGCCATAAAACTTCAAAGTGAACCAACTGTTTTTATGTGAAGCAGCAGTTTTACATCTACATCAAATACATACAGGTTGAGCATCCCAAATCTAAAACTCCAAAATCTGAAATGGTTGAAAATCTGAAACTGTTTCCTCTGAGCACTGATACGACACTCAAAGGAAATGCTCTTTGGAGTATCTCACATTTTGTAATTTGGGGTGCTCAACTCACAAGTATAATGCAAATACAGTCATGCATTGCTTAATTGTTCCAATAAGTGAGTCCTTAGGCAATTTCATTGTTGTACAAATGTCACAGAGTGCTGACATAAACCTAGATGATATGGCCTTTA